CTGTTCTCATTTATATCCCTTCAGCAGGTGAACCAGTTATCTGTACTTCTATAATACATAGAATACTTCTTATTTCACGGTAGAATTTGGGGGATGCTATGAAAACGCATATGTTTTAAGTGTGAATTGAGTCAGAGGTTTAAACTTAAAGCCCCCTTGATTTAGAATCAGAAATTAATATGATGGAGGGAGGGTATAGCTCAGTGGTAGAGTGCATGCCTAGCATACATAAGGTCCCGGGTTCAATCCCCAATGCCTCCATTTAAAAACAAATAAATAAACCTAATTATGCCCCCTCCACAAAAAAAAGAAAAAAGAAATTAACATGAGGATGAAGTTACAGAGAGATTATGTGTGTCTTCTGAAACTACCTTTTGTCTTTCTGCAGGAAATTCTACGGAGAGATGGTCGGAATCTACTTTGCTTGGCTGGGCTGTTACACTCAGATGCTCCTCCTGGCAGCAGCCGTGGGGGTGACCTGTTTTCTGTATGGATATTTTAATCAAAATAACTGTACCTGGAGGTAACTTCTCTTTATTCCTTGTTACCGTGCTTACTTAACTTAGAATAACATTCTCCAGGAGCATCCATGTTTTTGCAAGTGGCCCTATATTTTCAGTTTTTATGGCCGATTAGTATTCGATTGTATAAATTTATAACTTCTTTACCCAGTCATCCGTTGATGGACATTTAGGCTGTCTCCATGCCTTTGCTATTGTAAATAGTGCTGCTATGAACATTTGGGTGCAGGTGTCATCCTGCAGGAGGGTTCCTTCAGGATATATGCCCAGGAGCGAATTTCCTGGGTGATATGGCAAGTCTATTCCTAGTCTTTTGAGGAAACTCAATACTGTTTTCCACAGTGGCTGCACCAAACTGCATTCCCACCAGAAGTGTAGGAGTTTCCCCTTTCTCCACAGCCTCCCTAGCATTTGACATTTGTGGATTTTTGAATGATGGCCATTCTGACTGGTTTGAGGTGATACCTCATTGTAGTTCTGATTTGCATTTCTCTTATAATTAGTGATACTGAGACTTTTTCTCTGTGCCCATTGATCATTTGTATGTCTTCCTTGGAGAATTGCTTGTTTAGGTCTTCTGCCGATTTTTGGATTGGGTTATTTGGTTGTTTCTTATTAAGTCATATGAGCTGCTTATATATTCTGGAGATCAAACCTTTGTCAGTTTCATTTGCAAAAATGTTCTCCCATTCTGTAGGTTGTATTTTTGTTTTATTATGGTGTCCTTTGCTGTGCAGAAGCTTGTAAGTTTCTTTAGGTCCCATTTGTTTATTCTTGCTTTTATTTCTATTGCTTGCGTAGACTGCCCTAGGGGGATATTTCTGACATGTATGTAAGATATTTTGCCTGTATTTTTTTCCAGGAGGTTTATTGAATCTTGTCTTATGTTTATCTTGATGAAGAGACTGTCTTTATTCTATTGTATATTCTTGCCTCTTTTCTCAAAGATTGATTGACCAAAAGTTTGTGAGTTCATTTCTGGGCTCTCTATTCTGTTCCATTGGTCTATATGTCTGTTTTTGTACCAATACCATGGTGTCTTGATGACTGTAACTCTGTAGTATTGTCTGAAGTCTGGGAGAGTTATTCCTCCAGGCTATTTCTTTTTTCCTTCAGTAATGTTCTGGAAATTCTATGTCTTTGTTGGTTCCATATAAATTTTATTGTGATTTGTTCTAGTTCTATGAAATATGTCCAGGGTAATTTGATAGGGATTGCATTAAATCTGTAGATTGCCTTGGGCAGTGTGAGCATTTTAACAATATTGATTCTTGCAATCCAAGAGAATGGGATACCTTTCCACTTTTTAATTTTTTTAATTTTCCTTCACCAATGGTTTATAGTTTTCTGTGTATAATTCTCTAACCTCTGTGGTTAGATTTATTCCTAGATATTTTATTACTTTGGGTGCTATTTTAAAGGGGATTGTTTCTTTACTTCTTTTTCTGTTGATTCATCATTAGGGTAAAGAAATGCTACTGATTTTTGAACATTAATCTTGTAACCTGCTACATTGATAAATCCTTCGATCAGCTCTAGTAGCTTTTGTGTGGACCTTTTAGGGTTTTCTAGATATAGTATCGTGTCATCTGCATATAGTGACACTTTTACCTCTTCTTTTACAATTTAGACCCCTTTTACTTTTCTTACTTGCCTGATTGCTCTATCCAGGACTTCCATGTCTATGATGAATAGGAGTGGTGATAGTGGGCATCCTTGTCTTATCCCAGATTTTAGTGAGAAGCTTTTGAGTTTTTCACCCTTGAGTGCTATGCTGGCTGTAGGTTTGCCATATATAGCTTTTATGATGTTCAGTTATGTTCCCTCAATACCCACATTGGTGAGAATTTTTATCATAAATGGGTGTTGAATTTTATCAAAAGCTTTTCTGCATCTTTTGAGATGATCATGTGGTTTTTGTCCTTTTTCTTGTTGATGTGAAGTATTACATTGATTGATTTGCATATGTTGAATCACCATTGTGTCCCTGAGATGAACCCCATTTGAGCATGATATGTAATCTTTTTTATGTGCTGTTGGATTCTATTTGCTAGTATTTTGGTAAGGACTTTTTACATCTCTGTTCATCAGTGATATTGGTCTGTAATTCTCTTCTTTGCTTATGTTTTTGCCTGGTTTTGGTATCAGGGTGATGGTGGCTTCATAGAATGAGTTTGGGACTATTACTTCTTTTCAGTCTTCTGGAAGAGTTTGAGAAGGACTGGTATGAGTTCTTCTTTGTATGTGTGGTAGAATTCCCCGGTGAAGCTGTCCAGTCTGGACGTTTATTTGTAGGGTGGTTTTTTTATTTTTAATTCGATTTCATTCCTAGTGATCAGTTTGTTCAAGTATTCGGTTTCTTCTTGATTCATTCTTGGTGGACTGTATGTTTCCAGAAACTTGTCCATCTCCTCTAGGTTATT